ATCATTTTGTAAATACCTCTAGCAGTAGGGGCCTGGTCAGGTCAAAGCTGGGAACCAGTAACTCAATTTGTTCTCTCACCTGAGTAGCAGGGACTCAACTACCTAGACTATCACCTGCTGTCTCCTCGGGTGAACATTAGCAAGAAACTGAAAAAGAAGAGCTAGGACTTCAAACCCAGGTACTCTGACATGGGATTCTGGCACCCAAGCAGAGTCTTAACTGCTATATTAAAGGTTTACATCTTTCCTTAAATTTATAACATACATACAAATCAACACAAATTAAAAAAAATTTTTTTCTAAACCTCACTCTCACATATCATCTATTTAAAAAAAACCTCATTTTTATTGGAAAGGCAGATCAGAATTACGAAGAGAAGGAGAGACAGAGAGATCTTTCATCTGCTGGAAGGAAAAGTGATTTTTTGTTGTTAATAAATGTGAACTTTGCAGAGATTTGTGTGTATGGTTCTTACTAAAGACATGAGCTGCTCAACAATACTAGTGGAGGTTCTATCTGGGAGCATCCTCTACTCCGGGACTTGGATAAAGAGTCCATTTAATACTGCCTCAGAAGACTAAAGAAACAAGGTTTTCAGACCTGGAAAAGACTATGAATAACTGTCTAGAAGGAAGGACCGTTCATCTGTGCAATGACGCCCATTCACCAAGAGCAAGAGTTGCAATCTGCTTCACTTGCTTACACTGGCTGAGAGTGTAAGAGCATTTAGGATGTTAGCATTCCAACAACTCAATAAATGGCACTGCATGTAAATGAGTAGTTTGTACAGACATGTCCGTATATATTTATATGAGCACTTACATACACATGAAAGATAATTGATTCAGTCAATGCTAGACAATGTGGACAGAATGAATAAATCGGAAATGGCCTGTCGATTCCATTTCCCTTGAAACAAATACACATTCCATGCATGAGGAATATGATACTGTTCCAGCACAACAGATGAAGTGCATTACTGATGTAATTCATTTTAACCTAAGACTGCAAAGAGGGAAAGGCCACTGAGGGGCCTTAGTTTGTTAGCCAAAAATAACTCACAATGCCACAGTTTGATTCTGCTTCATGGAAATAAAAATAAAGACCAAGATATTTGTTTCAAGGCTATAGGATTCAAGCAAAATACTTGTAAGACAAGAACTTTCTTTCCTATCATCAAGAGATGGACAGAACTAAGATATTTCTCTTCCCTTTGCAGGTTTTTGCATCTTTTCTCCTTAAATTTAGCTTCTTAATGTTGACAGAATTTTTTCAGCACCTAGAAATCTGGGATAGTTCACATATTTTGGTGAACTAACCATTCTTACACTGGAACTAAGCCTAGAAAAGATTCTAGATTTATATTGTGTGTGTGCTTCAAGTATTTGCAAATGCTTAATCTGTTTTTCACACACACACACACAAAGTAAATACGAATATTCTTATTTATTTTCAAGTAGGAAAGTGTATCCTGTGATACACACACATATGTAGGGAAGGGAAGATTCTTGGAGCCAGGAATCTAGAACTCAAACTAGGTCACCAGCTAAGTGAGCTTTCACCGGCTGCCTCCAATGACGCACATTATGAGGAAGCTAGAATCATTGGCAGAGGCAGGATTCAAACCTAGGCACCTTGACAGGGATGTGGGTTCCCCAACCACCTTCATAATTCTTAGGCCAAATGCCCACCATTTCACTTCTTTTTCAAACAGCTTTAGTGAGACGTGATTCACATACTATAATTTGCATTAAATTATAAATACACAATTTTAATGGTTTCTGGTATATTTATAGATAGATATGTAATGAAGTACCACTGTCAATTTTAGAAGATTTTTATCGTTTCAAAAAAACCCTAGCAGTGTTTGGTCTACCAGCTGGGATGCCATTTAATAGGCCCACATCCTGCTTGAGTGCCAGGGTTCAATATCTGATTTTAGCTCCTGGCTTGGCCTAATGCAAGCCCTGGAAGGCTCTGGTGGGGGGTTGAGAATCAGGTTACTGCCTTTGGTCTGGGTGTCATGGACTAAGTTCTCACTGCAGTCTTGTTCCATGCACTGTGGGCATTTGGGCAGTGAACCAGTGGACAGGCCTACCAGTGACTAGACCCTCTCTATGTCTTTCTCTTTCACACTATATTTTACAAAGGAAAAAAAGCCCTGTACCCTCTAGCTGTTACTCCCCTTCCTCTCATGCTCTCTCAGCCCTAAATGATCACCGATCTATTTTCTCACTCTATACATTCTCCCATTCTGGAATCTTCTCTGCATGGAATAATACGACACATGGGCTTTTACGACTAGTTGGTTTCACTCAGCAATGTTTTTCAGGTTGACCTAAGTTGTAGTATGTATTAGAACTCCATTCCTTTTTATATCTGAATAACATTCTACTACTGAATAGACTGTTTTGTATTTCCATCTGTTTGCTGATGACAGCTGAGTTGTTTTGATCTTTGAACTTCTTGGAATAGCACCCCTATAGACTTTCCTGTGCCACTCTCTGGGTGCAGGTTTTCGGTCCTCTGTGGTTAAAACCTTGCAGAGGAATGACTGGGCTCTATGGTAACTGTGCTTTATCGTGGAGGAACTGCCAGACTCTTTCCAAGGTGGCTGCATCATTTTACTCCCAGCAGTAATGCCTGGGCGTTCCGATTCCCCATGCCCCCACCTCACTAAACAACATTTCTTCATTGACGAGGATGGAACAGAACAAAAGGCAGAGGCAAACCCTAGGACACAGTGGACAGCATGCTTCCCTCCAAAATTCTTTGACGTAAGAGAAAACAAACACCCAGTTCAATTTATGCTTGGGATTCAGTCCATGTGGACAGTACCTAAGCAAAGCTCCCAATCCAAGTAGTGCTTAAAGAACATCTTCAACTGGCAAGCTGAAGAAAGGAAGAAAGAAAAAAGGAAGGAAGGAAGGGAGGGAGAAAGAGAGAGAGAATGAATGAACAAACAAAAAAAGAAAAAGAAAAAAAGAGAAATAAATCACATAAGGGTTTTTACCCTAAGAATTTCTTTTCATCCTGTTCCATGTAGGGAAATGCAACTATTTCTTTCTAATGTCAGATCCCACCATTCAATAGCATTTCTGACTAGAAAATGTTACAACTTCTCAGGAGCTTTTTGCAAGATTGAAACAAAGTCCTGATACTCTGTAACAACAGAAGTTGCATAGATGGAACAATTCCTTAGGGTGGAGAATGAGTGTCCCTTTGTTATTTCCTTCCTCAAACATTATGCTGAGTCTCAGCACAAAATTAAGGATGATCAAACGTAGTTTTAACATGTTCTCTTCACTCTTTGGGAACCCAGGCTGTGGAGACAGCACTGCTGTCACGTTTTCGGATCCTTCGAGGCACTGAGTTTTACTGTTCCTAAGAGAGTGTGTTAGCCTCTAAAGCAACTTTCCACCTTTGCCTTTGGAAAAGCACAAGGGAACCTGAGTGATGACAAAAACAGGCTTCCCCACCGCTTTCCTCCCTGCTTGCATGCTGAGGGGGTACCCTGGACACACAAGAACTCGATGTTCTGGATCTGTTGTACCAAGTGAGAGTCTGCCTCAAAGCCAGTCTTTGCTAAATGGGGTTCCTGGCATGTTTTCCTGCAGCCAGTAAACAACTGTTGGTGGAAAGGAGATCACTGAGCCAGGAAAAACTTACTTGTATGATCTATTCCTTTCTCAGTGTTTCAATTAATTGATACATTTAGCCAGTATTTGTTGAGTACTTAGCATGTCAGAAATAGCATTTCATTCTGTTAAAATTGATCATCTGTTCATGGTTCCTGGACTCAGCTATCTTAACACAAACAATTTTAGTCATTTTTTTTCCCTGCAAGGTAGCCTTTCTCATTTTAAGTAACTTTACCTTCCTTTTCCCTGTCTCACAAATAGAAAAATCACGTAGCTTTCCTTTTTCCAATGAATTACTTAGAATATTTTTTTTCTGAAATATATAGGAGCAGTGTAGTCCTCAGAATTTCTCCTTAATTTTAGCTTTTTAACAACTTGCTGTCCTGTGGACCACATCCGTGCTTCGCTTATTCACAAACATTGAATAAGGGCCTAATTCTAACCAGCTCCCTATCTTTTGTCTTACACTGACACAATATTATAAACATGATAAATAACTTCACTAAACAGAATCTTTAAAAGTCATGTTAAGTTTCAGGTCTGTACCATTTTATTCCCTTTCTAATAAAATGTCAAAATCTTCTCCTACACTATTTTCCTGACTAGACCAATTCTGACAAGATTTGGTTTGGTTCAGACAACCTCGGATCCAGAATCCCCCAGGATTCAGAAATCTCATGGCATTCTGGCCAGTGTGTTTCTCTGTAAAAAGAGGGTAATTTCCCCCTTAAGACTGCACTGCTGACAGGGAGCAATGGTAAAGTCTGCACCGTGTGGCTTAGGACACGGGCACCCCGTTCATGTTAGCTGTGGGTTTCAGGCTTGTCTGCAGCGCTGCCCAGTAACTATTTTCCACCCCATTCTGTAAGATTGTTTCAGCCTGCGACCATTTATAACACAAGGAGGGGCCCCATGCTGCCTGCGGAGTTCTCAGGCCAGCCCAGGTAATGTTAGCGAGCACCTGCTCCGAGGCTGTCTCCTCCTACGCTCCGTACACTGCAGGGCAGTCCAGAAACAAAGATCTGGTTCTTTCCTGGGTGACGGATTGTAGGAGCAAAAAGAAGCCCATTACCTGCGTCTGTAAAGCAGGCATGACACACACACACAGGCTGTACGAAAACAAAGGATGTGCTTACACACACACACACACACACACACACACACACACACACACACACACACACACACACACAGTGGGCCTTTCCCTCGCAAGCCGGGGTAGATTTTCACGTGTAGACCACAGCCCAAGGTGGCAGCCAGCAGCACACGCTGGGCACCACACTGGGGGGGAACCCGGAGGCGTTCGCCGCCGCAGCTCGCACCTGCCGCCAGGTCATTGTGACGCACACGGTAGGGACACGTGGAACACCTGCGGGAGAGCGGGGGCGGGGACACCGTGCGCGGACGGACGGAGCTGGGGGATCCCTCAGGAAATGGGGGGTCCAGGGAAGGCCCCAGGGAGTCGAGAGAGGGACACTCACTCTCCTCGTCCCCGACCCGCCTCAGACAAGGTGAGGCCGTCGCCCCCTCCCTCCGCCTTCCAGGTGCCGGGGGTCCCGCCGGGAGGGGGTCCCGCCGGGAGAGGGTCCCGGGAAGGCGGGTGGCGGGCGGCAGAGGCGAGGACGCCAGCTCCCCGTCGGCCGCCGTGCCGTGCCGCGCTGCGCCGCGGCGCGCACCGTCTCCTCAGGCTGCGATTCCGGCTGCGGGCAGCCGCCGCAGGAAGGGCCGCTCCCGGCGCTCCCCCGCCCCCTTCCCTGGTCTTCTGCTGACGCTGACGTCGGGTGAGGGACGCGGAGGGACGCTGGGACCGCGGCCGCGAGGCTCCTGGGGGCCGGGGGGCTCTGAGGTACCTGCCCTCCGGGGCCGGGGCGGGGACGCGCCGGGGCGGGCTGAGGGCGGGCAGCGGGGGACGCCCTGCAGCCAGCCAGGGGCCCGTGGGAGCCGCCACACCAGGCTGCCTTCCTCGCTCCCCGCGGTGGCGGCGGCGGGTGACAGGCAGGTCGCCTCCTGCGGCCCCCGAGGCGCCTGAGGGAAGCGCGTCGCCTTCCTTTCCCCCGCCGCCTCCCTCCGGCCTGGACCGGTCTGGAGGATGCGCGCGCCCTGAGAGAGAGCGTGCGTCAGCCCCCGGGGGGACGCGGGGTGAAGTCGGGGAGAGATGCGTGTGGCCCCCCGCGCGGGAGGTGCTCGCACCCACCTCAGCCCACCGCACCCAGCCACGCCGCGCTGGGCCGCGCCGCGCCTGACCCGTGGCTTCGGCCCCACGACCCCGAGATCGCTCCTCTGGGCAGGGACCTGGGTCCGGGGCTGACTTGTTGACAAGTTCACCTGCCGCCGTGCCTCATGTCGGCGTCTCCTCCCTGACTCTGTTTGGCCCGGGTGACAGGCAGCAGTTGGGGACCTCTTTCGAAGTGACAGTGCCAGGAGGCCTGGGCCCCCGCAGCCGCTCCCGGTGCGTGGGTCCACTCCGCGACCAGAGCCCCCCCAGCAGGCCGGGTTCCTGCGCCCCTCCGGCGCGCCCGTTACCAACGGCGGCTGCGGACCCCGCCTTTCCTGCCCTGGGGCTGTGGCAGCTCTGGCTTCCTCTGCAGAAAGCAGTGCATCCTGCCTGTAGTCGGCCTAGCGGGTCTCCATGAGCCTTTGCCAGCACCCTTTCCCTTGGACTCCCCCAAAGTCCTTCAGCTCCTTTTTGGGATCTTAACAAGTGTTGCACCGGGACGCTGGTTAAGGGCAGTGCCTTGGCTGGCTGCTGGGAGAGTTTAGAAAGAGAACTATGCATCTTCTTGTAGATAGTATTTTTTTTTTTTTTTCTTAAGTCAGCACAAGACAGCATTTTCTCGGTGAACCTGGAACTCAGTTCTAGTAACTGCAAAAATGGTCAGGGCCTGGAAAATATATCGCCAGCTGGTTTGGGAAGAACACTGAACGTAGGAGGGAAAGGTCCTGTAAATTATGACTCACTGCAAACATGCTTGTGTCCATACATTTCAGTAACGTCTCCAGAGAAATCTGAGATTGGTTTCTATGGGAAATGCTTAGTTTGAAATTGGTGCTAGTGACCGTTGCTTATCTATTAGTTAACATCCAGCCATGCATACACACACATGTTCTAGAATTTTTTTAATGAGTTTTCAGGCTGACGATTTTCTTTCCAGATTTCAGTCTATATTTTGAAAGCCATTCTGCAGGGAACATCACAGGGAGAGCTCGTAATCACGTAAAAGCTCAGATATCATCGCTTGATTTTAGACATATTTTTCGGGAGATGTTGTTTCCTAATAGGATCTTTTGGTATTATGTGGGTAAACAGTTGTATTGATCTTTAAAAACCTACTCATCGTTGGTTGAAAAATTCACCCTGAATTCTCTCCTTGGGGATCAGGGCAGGCTGGATGATAAGGGCCTAAGGGTGGGTTTTATAACTTGTCCCCCTCTTCTCTGTCCACTTGAGTAATCCCACCTGACTGCTTTCTCTGGCATCTGTATTTTTGTGTGTATCTCTCCTCTGCAGCCTTAAGAAAAGTATAGACTTCTTAAAACTCAAAACCTTTGATATCACTGTCATCTAAAGGGATTAAAAACAGCTGTACCTTATGGCAGGTGCATGCAATTTTACCATAGGTAGGGAGGGGTGGCAGCTGTGCCCCGACACAATAGGATGAAACTTGTTAAGGCCACAGAAGTATGTTTCCTCTTTATTGACTGAGCCTGCTAAGGTGGAGGCAGCATCTATGATCTGTTGATAGAACACTCGTATCTTCTTTCCACCTGCATCATCCATGCTCAAGGATGCTGACTGCAAGTCTTTGTGTGTGAGGCAGTATTGACGGCTGCCTACCTCTCCCTTCTACCTCAGCGGAGGTATAAACTCCTACCGATAGTGGAGATGTGTTGTCCCTCTGGTGGTGGTCCTTGACTGCTATCCTGTTAGATTTGTACACCACAGTCTTATCCAGCACTATGCAGGAAGGCAGAGGATTCTCATGGAAGATGATCCAAACCCCAGCCATAACGTCTAGCTGTATGCTCTCCAGCAGATTCTTTACACGTTCAAAGCCACCATTTACCATGCCCTTATTTATAACACAGGAATAGCCACCTAATGGGATTGTGTTAGGATTAGAGATAAAATGTATGCATTGTTTTACACAGTGAATGGGACTCAAGTCGCAGCCATAAATTCATCCATGTGCTGAACATATGTGCTGTCTGCATGTGAAAAACTTGCCATGGCTTCCCCTGTGAGAGGGACTGTTCCAACTTGGTTTTGAGTATTTGAAGTGAATGTATACCCATACAGAAAGTCTGGGCTTTTAGAAAATACTCTACAGTTTGGTGGGGGGTGGAGGGAGAGGGTGCCATCTGTGGTCCAGCAACAAAGCAAAGCTAATTTGTTCCAGTGGGGATAATGCTCTCAAGCCTCTGCCACTCAAATGTGGTCCTTGAACCTGCAACACTGGTTTCCCCTGGGAGCTTGTTAGAAATGTTCAGTGCCCACCCTTCATCACTAGACACACTGAATTCAAATCTGCATTTTAACAAGTTTCCCCGCATGCACTTTAACACAGAGAATCATCGCTGTAACTTGGCATTTCTCAAACTTCAGTGCCCCAAAGGATCATGTGGAGGCTTGTTAAATGTAGATCCCCAGTCTGGCTTGCCCCATCTGCTCTTCAGCAACAGCTTGTGTCACTCAGATGCTCTGGGCCTTCCTCCGCTCTTTGAGAAACATGGCTATAAGCTCCTTGGCATTGTGTTCTTAATATGCGCCGCTCTCGACTTCCTTAAGAAAGCACTCTGGCAAGTGTAATCGTATTTGGCATTCTACCCGTTAAGCCAGTGTTAGAATCCCACATCTATCCAATAAGAAAGTTAAGATTATAGGCATGATTTGCCTTGGAGAATGCAAATTGTGGAACTTCCATGGGCAATACAGAAAGTCTTAGTTGGCTGTGCTTTCCCACTGCTGCATTCAAATTAGCAGGTAATATTTCATTTATTTTTGCTTGTTTGCTTTCTGGGTAGTTTGGTTTGTTTGATCTGGTTTTCTTGTCTGTAATTTTCTCAAATGCAATGACTCTGGCCAGGACAAAAATGACCCTGCCCTTTGGGTGTGTTAGGCATGATTCTGAGCCTTGTTGTCAAAGGGGTTGCTATCACCCTGATATGTGGTGACAGTGAGCCATGTTAGGGAAGGTTTCTCAGTGAATGCCTGCTGCTCCCAGTGCACACCTGTTGGGAGGCGGAGTTTGCAACAAGCTGGAAAGTGACACCCTGCAGCTGATGAGAATGTTCAGCCCTTCCTGCTGAGTCAAGTGACATCATTCACCAAGTCTTTGACTGAATCAGAAAAATGGGGTCTCTTAGTATTCAACAGGTCTTTGTTATTTGTGTACCATGGACCCTGAGCTGTGCTAAATGCTGGGAATCACATGATGACACTCAGTGCAGTGTTCCAGAGGAATGCCGAGCCTTGACAAGGGGTAACAGTGAAATGAACTGACAATTACCTTTCAGTGAAAGCACAAATGAGATAGAAGCCTAGGCCAGAGAACATGAGAGAAAGCAAAAAGAAAAAATCTCAGAAGGTTTATGGAGGAGTGGTTGTTGAGCTAAGCTTGAAAAATACCAGTATAACTTCAGAAGGTGAGTAAGAGTTGAGAGTATGTGGGAGGTCTCAGCAGATAATCCACAGGTATAAATGTAAGAGAGACAGTATTGGCAAACAGTCTTAGGGTCTGGGGCCTGGTGTACATGTGCCCTATATTTTCTGAGTGACCTTCGGCAAGTTTGACCACCTGTGACTTGGGAGAATTGAACTAAATTAATCAATGTAAGCATGATTTATGTAGGTGCTGGATAGTTGTGGTAGAAGTATTAGTGGAAAACAGGAGTCTGATATTTAGAAATGCTTGAGAATGAATATTGCAGGATTTAATTTTAGAATACATTTAACCAAAAATACATAGAATTGAAAGAGGTTGATGCAAGAAGATCATTGTACGTAATAGAGTACAGTGGAGTGGGAAACACGCTTATATATGTTCAGTGACCAACTCTGAATATATAGATCATAGTCATTGGTAAGCTTGCAAGTCTAGAGTGGAGAAAAGAAAGGTCCTCCAATGATGTTGACAGTATTTGTGCAAGGAGTGACTCTAAGGTATTAGAACTGTTTACCCAAAACACTTGATTGAAATCCACTGCATTACTCACTGTCTTCTTGATCACTCACTCTTGCTTCTCATTCCCAGAATAAGGTATGGACACCAGTATTAAAAATCTAATAGTACTTAGCTGGAATCCAGATTCTGTGGGATGTTTCCCTGGGACACAGCATCCTTGGCCAGAGACCAAGGAGCTCTTTTTGATGAAAGAGATCCCCCTTTCATTCTTTGGAGGAGTCTTGATAGCCTCCAGAAACCCAGTGACATTTGCAGGTTTTGTTGATGCATAGCATCGCACTGGCAATTGGTTTGAGAGGTGTGATTTGTATAGAAATAGCTCAACCCCC